ACTGTAATAGTGATAAAGCTAAATGTAAATGTTGTTTGGAAGTCTATCATCCACAACACAATGAAACTTGTTCCAAACAACCCACGTGTGCTCAATGCGGGCTGAATCACCACTCTTTAGACCCTTCGTGTTTAGAGGTCAAAAACTACAGATACAATTTAAACAAAGCGGTCAAAGAGGCTTTAAATGATGGTGTAATCCAATTGGATAATAGGTATTTGACGCAACAAATACCTCAACAAAATTTTGAACTAAGAAGGAATGAGTTCCCATTATGGAATCAACCATTAAGTAATAATAAAATGGAAATGGAGAAAAGAAATATCAATGTATGGAATACAACTTTCGAAAATCAACAACCTTTAGAACGATTAGAAAACAAAATTGATCATATAGGCCTGTTTATTACAAATACACAAGAAATCTTGATTAGAATAGCATCAGAAGCGAAAAAAACAGAATGTGTTATAAGTAATACGTGTGAAATTATAGAAGAAGTCATTACAGGAATTAGTGATCTAACGGAAAAAGTGTTAAAACCAATGGCTATTCGTTTAGACGATCAAGTTATGAAGAAGAATGTAGATGATTTAGCAAATTGGGCATTAGTACTAAATGATAAATTTAAGCGGGTATTGAGAGAGACAAAAATATACAACGAGGTGGAATACGTAACTAGACCAAAAGATTTGTTAGAAAATGTGGTTTAATAGGGTATAATACTATAAGTTTTATTTTTTCTTATTTTTCATTTGCGACATGCTGAATCCTCTTGCTTCCACTTTCGTCCCTTTCTTACACCCTAACCCGCTAGAAGAAGCGCTTCTAAAAATGAAAAGATGGGGTTTTGACGTGAAAACTCTTAAAGAAGTCAAATCGGTTTTAGAGGATTGGTTTAACAACACAGTAATAGACACAGTATTGAAAAACTGGGAGAATCATGGACAGGGAATCCCTGCTTCTTTTTTACCACACTCATTACCGCTAAATTTTCTTGTTTATAATGTTCAAGGATGAGGAATGAGAGCATTCGAAGCTTTGGATCTGATTCACAAGTTTGACGCCTCTTTCGGAATCTTTACAGAGGTGGGCGAACTCTGGAACTCCTTTCGCATTCCTGATTTCAATTTTTTTTACAAAGAAGGAAATAATCCTCGTGGTGGAGTCACCATTGCAGTAGGAAGGCATCTTAAGGCGACAGTAATTGAAAGTAAGTTAGAAAATACAGTAGTAGTAGATGTGTTCGGATTGAACGAACCCATAAGAGTTATAGGTATATACTGGCCCGAAAGCCAAAAAAGGCAAATCAGGGATTTAAACTCCTTGATAATTAATAACACTATTATTGCGGGAGATTTCAACGCAACAGATTCGGAATGGGGCAGCCAAAGTACGGACAGGAGAGGAAAAATTTTAAAAGAGTTGTGGAAGAATTAGACCTGTCTTATATACCAACTACCTTTCCTTCTTCCAAACGCTCGGAACGCAACATAGATTTAGTCTTTTCTAATTTTACGGGTCTGAAGGGAGAAACTATCAGATTAGGGTCTAGCGATCACTGGCCGCTTACATTCAGTTCCGATTTTATTAGCTTTAAAGCTGTAACTAAATTTCCACATACTAAATGGAGAATTTATGAAATAATACTAGCCATTCTTCAAGGTTACTGGGAAAAATTATTAAAACTGGTCTCGGCGGATGAATGGTATAGACAGTATAGTAGATTTTTATCAGCTTTAAAGTGTAGATTGACGGTATGGCTCGAAAAAGAAAAGTGGCGACCCTCTCTTCATCAGCACATTCTCGAAAAGTTATCAGCTTTGCGGAAAGTGAGGAATAGATATTATCGGTATACGTGTGAGGAAGATAGGATCAAATTAAGGTATGGTTCGAGAAAAATTAAGAGTGAAATTTCTAGCTATAAATTCGATAGATGGATAGAGTTTCTTACTTCAATTCAGGAATCTCACGACAAAGCTAACTCACCCTTCTGGACATATCTATCCCGTATATACAGACCTACTCTCAAAAAAAAAAAGGTACCCTACGAAACCTAAAAAGGGTTCCGAGAATTGAAACCATTTCTAAACCTTTTTTTAGGTATCGTACGCACCTACGAAACCTTAATCAAGTTTCGTACGAATCTACGAAACCTTATTAAGGTTTCGTAGATTCGTACGATACCTAAAAAAAGGTTTAGAAATGGTTTCAATTCTCGGAACCTTTCGTTTTTTTTCAGAGTAAGTCGCTCCCACTCTCGAAGTTAGCAACTAATGGGACAGTGATTACGGATTGTAGAGAAGTCACGGATGAACTATTCAAATATTATGCTGAACAATTTTCAGCGCCGACGGAAAATTATAACGATCTTTTCGAGGTAGAATGTCAAGTTGAGTATAATGAAATTATGACTAGGCTAGCTTTGTGCACTAAGTCTGTGACAGGAACGTCTTCAATCGAGAAAAATAAATACATTAAAAAGCTTAAACCAAAAAAATCAGCTGGATTTGACGATATTTCTAATTTTATGATTAAACTACTTCCCCCGGGCTATATTGATTGTTTAGCGAAGTGTTTTAATGACTGGCTAAAAGATTGTCATTTTCCGGAGATTTGGCAGTTAGCAAAAATTGTTACGCTTAATAAATTAAAAGCAGGCACGCCTTCTTGCGATCAAACGCGTCCAATCTCGCTGTTGGCCACTCATTCCAAACTGTATGAGAAAGTTATCCATGAAAGGATTAAAAACTGGGCGGAACAAAATCATATAATTCCCGCAGAACAATCAGGATTTAGGAAAAGCCATCTGTTACAGACTCGAGTTTTGTCAATATATCAGGAAGTGAAGAATAACCTAGCAGCTAATATTCCTACGCTTGCGATATATGTAGATTATAAAAAAGCT